GAAGTAAAAACGTGCAAAATAAGACTGAATAATAGGACAATAGGGCAATAGGGGCTCATTCTGACGTTGCTGGGTGGTACATGGAAAGACTTTGTTATAGATTTAATAAAAGAGAATATGATTTGGATGGAGTCTCTTTACCGCACCGTTGTGACGAAAAGGGAGCTGAGCCAGAAGGCTGAGACTGCCAAGGCACACNGGAGGAAAACAGAGGCTCCGTTTTTTATTCTTATATGATTATATAGAGTCGTTATTCATTTGTTTTAAAGCTCAATAAATAACAAAGAAGACCTTTGACTGTCAAAGGTCTTCTTTGTTATTTATTGAGCTTTAAAACAAATGAATAACGACTCTATATAATCATATAAGAATAAAAAACGGAGCCTCTGTTTTCCTCCCCCTCTTCTGACAGCCCAGCACCTGATCTCTGAGCAGCAGAGGATGGGAGAGGCGGGACTATTGCGTAATCGTTATCAGGACATGATCGTACTATAGGCGTAAACACGTTTGCCCCCCCAGAGCGTTTCGTTTGCAGATCTACCCACCTAGGGACCCGTTATCGTTATCGTTTTCTGCGTTTCCATGTCGGCCTCGTGTGGCCGAACCGTCTATCTGATAGTGAACTGTAGCAGATGTGACCGTTATCGTCCTCGTGTGGCCGGGGCTTTAGTGTGGATGGTTTGAACAGAGGTCAGTGCAGTGCAGCTGGTGTGATGTGGTCCAGATGTGTCCTTTAATTTATTCATAAATCTCATCGTCAGGGAGCCCAGGGATTTCCAGTCATGTGTTGGTCACGTGAAATACGGAGTGCAGCCATTATGCAGCCATCAGGGTTAGGGTTAGGGTTAGGGTTAGGGTGAGTCCTCACACAGACAGCAGAGTGCTTCTGTTTACCCAGCGCAGATTAGCAGACGTGTGAAAGATGTTATGTCAACAAGCCAACCTCTCATTACTCATGCCATACAACCATCTCACCCTAATTGCCCTATTCCATCCCATGATGCACCTCTTTCAGACAGGACACATCCATTCTCCTGCCTTTACTCCATCAGACAATGGTGTAGTCTCATTACAAACATGCTATCATCCCCTCAGCACATCTGCATTTAGCTATTCTCCTCATCCATGTTCATGAAGACGCTCTTTAAAATACAGGCATCTGAGAAGCTAGGTCGGACTAAACTATATTTTTCTTTAATTGAAATTCCAATATAGGTTATTTTACATTTTTGTTTTCATTATTATCTGGTAATTCAATATAAATATATATGAAATAACCAAATAGTAAGGCCTATTTTAGGTTCTCCTGTGAGAAGGAAATACTCGACAAATGAAAGGTATTTTCACAATAACAAAATGGATTGAATTGCAGGTATTAGGTAAAGTTATTGAGAACAAATTAATAAATATTGCCGGATCAATACATCCATGCACAAACACAGTAAGCAGGGGAAATAGTTTGATTTACCTGAGTTTCATTCAATTTTTAAAACAACATTATTTTTATGATCAAATCAGGCAACGTATTAATTATGTAATGTGATCAAAATATCATGTAACACAAAATCTTTCCTTTACTATTTCCCAATATTCAATTATTGACATTCCTATCTTCAAAAACAAGTAAATGAAATGCGACCAAACTCTATTTATACACATTTACACAAACATATTTACTTGAATCACTACACACAATCAGCTTCTAAGGTAATTAACAATCTTACAGTAATAATATAATTAAACTGCATTATGTTTGAGGACAACACTGTTTATCCTCCACACAGTTTAGTCTGATCCTGCTGGGCATCCATAGTTTCATCATTCTTCACAACATCCCCGAACAATCACAATAAAATACTTGATAATAACATATCTATGTCTGTTCCTCCCCTCCCTTCCTCCACTCTTCTTCTATCCCTCCTTTCCTCCCCCACCAGGTGTGAGCCGCACGATGAAGGAGCGAGTGACGAAGCCCACCGGCATGGCGCAGGGTCGCGTGGCTCACATGATCGAGTGGCAGAACTGGGGCATGTCGACGGTGGGACCAGGAGGCGTGCCGCTGCCCCGGATCACCACCGAGGAGCGGGAGAAGGAGCGGCGGCTGGAGAGCGACGCCTACAGCGACCTGAGTGAAGGAGAGAAGGAGGCGCGCTTCACTGCAGGTCAGAAACTCACAAAGAGCCCGTTCACCCACATTTTAAAGGGGCCTTATTCTGCTCATGTTCAGGTTCATATTTGTATTTAGTGTCTCTACTGTGACATGTCTCCATGCTTTAAGGTTCAAAAAGCTCTTTATTGTTCTCATACTGCCTGAGAAACCACACAGCCCAGTCTGTTCTGATTGGTTAGCTCACCGGCCCTATTCTGATTGGTCCACCGCTTAGAGATGTCCCGCCCCCTATCACATACAGTGTGTTGAGAGTGGCTGGCCAATAGAAAAGAGAGTGTTACATAGAGTTGTCAGTATGCTACAGAAGTAAACAAAGGAGTCCAATGGAGAGTCCGGGAAAGGGAAACCCACCCCCCCAAAAGCACAATAGGGCCTCTTTAACATATTACTATACGTTTTTTTAAAGCTCTTAACGGTCCAAGTCCTAGCTATTTATCCAATTTGCTTTTGACCTATGAACCGTCTAGAACCCTCATTGATCAGCATATTGCTTTCACCTAACTTAGTAAGATTGATTTATGCCACTTATTCAGTTAGTTAACTATTGTAATGCTGGTTTGTCCTCTGCTGCCCTCAGGGATCCTGCAGCAGTTTGCAGTCACCGAGGCGACGCTCATAGCCTGGGGCTCGATGGACGGAGAGAGCACTCGGTCGGGATCAATGATGGGCAGCGTGGCCCGTCTGAGCGAGGTCAACCAGGAGAGCATCACCAGTCGAGGTAAAGGACTACAAAGATACAGTATGGCCGTGGATGCATCTTAAAGTGGCCTGTCTTTCAGAACAATCTTTACATTACTATTAACATTATCACAGGTTCATAAAGACAAGACAGACTCCAACAAATCAAATGTTCATGCCCGACCTGACTGGCACCCCGGCAACTTAACGTGATTCACTACAATGTATTGTTTACTTATTTTATTATATTTACTATGTTTTTAAAGTAGCATAAAGTGGATATACTCCAGGAAAGTAGCTCAAAACTTAACTTGAGTGTGTAATTAAATGTACTTACTTACTCTCCTCCAGCCCTGGCTTTGAATGAAGAAGGCAGCTTGCATGTGTGGTGTTGCTCAGTGATGAGAACACACTGTTCATCTCCTCTCCGCGCTGGAGGGTAGCTCATTATTAATTCCACATTTTCCATCAAGGTCGGTTGAAGGTGAACCTGGATAACTAATGATTTTGGACATTTTGATTTCAGAGCAGTGACACAAAGTTGTTCTCATGAAGTGAGACAAAGTTCTCAGATGATTATAATGACTGCTTTGCTATAATACGATTTACACTGCAGGACTTTAACAGTAACAAGGGTCTGAATACGTTGTCCAGCACTGCCAGAACTCTCCCTCGCCGTGTTCCTGACACCAACACCTCCAGCAGCACCTTTAATAGCCACTCCTGCTCTTTATTTCCTTCCAGATCAGATCTTGCACCACTCCTCAGCGGATGTGTGGCCCCACACTTACGTCTCCCAGGGCCACTACTGCCTCTCCTCGTCCGACGCCTGGGAGCCCATGAACAAAGACTCCTCCGGCGTGGTGTCCTCCCCGGCCGGCTCCTATGTCCTCGGGCCTGAGGGCTACGAGGGCCAGGCGGCGGGGTGCTTCCTGTCGCAGCAGCAGCAGCATCAGCTGACGCTCCAGCAGCAGAACCAGCTGCAGCAGCTGCAGCAGATCCAGCAGATCCAGAGCTACCAGCAGCAGCAGCTGCTGCAGTACCAGCAGCAGCAGGTGAGTCACCTTCTGTGGGCGTAGCCCTGATAGATGGAAGGAGATGGAGAGAGAAATGCAGTGTGATAGTATGTTTACTGACTCTCAAAGTCACTCTAATAATGCATGAACCTGAGCAGTCCAAAGAAACCCAGCAGCTCTAGAGCTCACTCTGTCCCGTTGGCGGAGATCAAGTGTTTGTTAGGTTGTGTGTGAATCCATGAGTGCATATATGTGATTGCAGCTATTTCGGATTTACAATACTTCCATAGCCACCTAGATCATCTAAAAATATCACTTAGCTAAAGAAAAATGTTGGTTTTCATGTTTGGAGGGAAATAAAAATGAACTTCATTTTAAATAAATGTATATATAAAAATGTCATTTCCAAAATTAGAAATGAATTCAGATGTAACTGAGATTTCTAAAAGGAGAATAACATTCTTTCCCCAAAAATACATAATTATAGGGAACAAAGGTTGATTTGTCAACAATTAAATATAATCATTATTAAGATTATTGGATAATTGTATCTCATGCTTAATGCCTAAATGTGTCTACAAGCAAACTCTTTGTTTTTGTTGTTTGTTGATTTTAGTTGTGTAAGCATATATGCAATGGACTCTTAAGTAAACAAATGTTTGGAAGAAGGTAAAAGATTTTTTCTTGAATAAAGTTAAGAAAAATACAGTACAGAGAATCTATTATCCTTTATTTAACCAGGTGAAAGTCTCATTGAGATTAAAATCTATTTTTCAAGAGCGACCTGAATAATAAAGTGAAGTATTACTAACTCTCCTTTTCAGAAACTATAGGAAAATATAAACTCAGTACAACAATCCAAAACATTACATTTGACTTTAAACTGCAAGTCGGCGCCAAGATAAAAAGATGCTCTGTCAAAAGAATCACTACTTTTAAGAAATTGATATCGAGAGTAAACTTTTCTGAACATTAGTTGTTGCTTTAAAACTGCAAATATCAGACAAAATAAAGAACGAAGAAAGAAAAGCAGAATTGATTTCTCTCACTGTTAGAAAAATATCACTCGACGTCAGTTTGAGAATCAATAATCAGGTAGCGGAGTTAAATCACAAACAGGAAGTACTGTTCAACTCACACACATGAGGTATGCTGCTCAAAGGAACAGGAAGTAACATCAAGCTTATATAGTCTAAGTGCAGTCCCACACATAGTCGTAAATCCGTTTGGTGTCGGCAGGTCTCCGTACATGCAGGTATTCCAATTTACGATGATGTTGCTCTTTGCCCCTCAAAAGGTGGGAGACAAGAGTAGATGTCTTCCAGTCTGTAGATGAACAAAGTGAATGATGCCCGGCCTCCTTCTGTCTGGAGAGGAGGCAGCTGCAAGGACATACACAGCACCAACAGTTTGGTAGATTGTATAGCAGCACCTTCCATGCACAAAGCAGCCCAAAGTGCTTTACAGAAAACAAAACAACAATATCAAAATAATATTAAAATGAATACAGAACAAGATAAAACATCTACAGTGATAATATGTTAAAATAAATAAAAGCAAAACAGAAAAAAAAGATAACATAGGAATACGAAAGTAAGTTGTATCTTCCCAAACACACACATTCAGAAACTGTGAACCCCTTTCTGTTCTGCCTCCTGATCTGTCCCCCCCTCCCTCCCTCNGTTCCAGCAGAGAGCCCCAAACTTTCTTTTCCCTGGCCACATCAACCAGCTCTGACTGGGGGATCCCAAGGCGCTCCCAGGCCAGCGAAGAGATATAATCCCTCCATCTGGTTCTAGGTCTACCCCTTGGTCTCTTCCCAGCTGGACGTGCCTGGAACACCTCCCTAGGGAGGCGCCCAGGTGGCATCCTAACTAGGTGCCCGAACCACCTCAACTGGCTCCTTTCGACGCGAAGGAGGAGCGGCTCAACTCCGAGTCCCTCCCTGATGACCGAACTTCTCACCTTATCCCTAAGGGAGACACCAGCCACCCTGCGGAGAAAACCCATCTCGGCCGCTTGTACCCGCGATCTCGTTCTTTCGGTCATGACCCATCCTTCATGACCATAGGTGAGGGTAGGAACGAAAATGGCGCGGTAGACAGAGAGCTTTGCCTTCTGGCTCAGCTCCCTTTTCGTCACAACGGTGCGGTAAAGAGACTCCATCCAAATCATATTCTCTTTTATTAAATCTATAACAAAGTCTTTCCATGTACCACCCAGCAACGTCAGAATGAGCCCCTATTGCCCTATTGTCCTATTATTCAGTCTTATTTTGCACGTTTTTACTTCATGTAATGGAGCTTTTTATGAAACTTTATCTCATATTCTCGCTCTTTCTTTTTCTTTATTTCCCTCAGACTGGGGTGTTGTGTGAGTGACGCCCTGTTGTTACCATGACGAGCCACGTGACCCTGGAGGATGCCCTGTCCAATGTGGACCTGCTGGAGGAGCTGCCCCTCCCGGACCAGCAGCCATGCATTGAACCCCCCCCCTCCTCTATTATGTACCAGGTACACACTCCCACACGCTTTCACCTCCACCCACTATCACACAAAGCCATTTTCAATATACCCCTCTCACGCTTTTCTCTCTCCTTCTGCAGGCAAATTTTGACACCAACTTTGAAGACAGGAATGCATTTGTGACTGGCATCGCCCGTTATATAGAGCAAGCTACGGTCCACTCCAGCATGGTGAGAAAATTGCACCAGTTTAAGTAATTAAACATGCCATGTCTTGCCATCGTGTTGTTCTTTTATATCAGATTGGTTGAATCAATTTTTGTTGTCTATCTTGAATAGTTTGTGTTCCCCTTTCAGTAAACACAAAGACAACTGGGAAGCAGCCTCACTCCCTTAAAGAGAGCCTTGTTTGTTTGTGAATTGATTATCATTTGGCTCTTTTGTAAGGATTTGGCTAGGCCTGTGGCCGGGCACACACACACACACACACACACACACACACACACACACACACACACACACACACACACACACACACACACACACACACACACACACACACACACACACACACACACACACACACACACACACACACACCTTCTCACAATGAGGCAGGCAATGAACCACTAAACCTCTTTCCCCTGATGGTGAATGAGCAGAGAGTGTGATTTGACTGGCAAAGAGGGGAAGTAGCGCTTTACTTAACCTTATTTAATCAGGAATTCCCACTGAGGTTGANGAATTAGTTCAGTCGGAGGTGTTTCTTTTTTTCAATTAGTCAACGGTTTCACAAACTCAAAGGAACAGAGAGTCTCACAAAATTTGTCGAGACAAGTAAATTTTCACAAATTTTTTACACACATGTATCCAAAAACTAGATCACCTGTTTGAATTACAAGGGTGAGGAATAGTAAATTTACACCAAGTGGAAGCTGGACATGACTTATGGTGAACTTGACGTGAAGTCCAATCACAAGGACAGGGAAGACACAAAATGTTGTACAAACAAGAACCAAGTAATTTTATCAAATTTTACCACACATGTATCCAAAAACTCGATCGCTGGTTTGATTATAACGTGAAAAACTATTAACATATAACCTTAAACATAACATATATGAACTGACGTGACAGGGTCACAAAGCAGAAAGACGAAACAGGAATAAAAAAGACCAGTTCGAGTAATTTCCCTTCCAAACAAATACCACTCTTTGGATTAACGACGCTACGTGAAAATATTAATATTATTTATAACAAGTAAATGTAAATTTAGTACCACACAACGTAGAAAACAATATACGACATCATAATACCTTTTAGTACTGATAAAAAACTCGAAACTAGGGAATCCTGGTGTTGTAAAGACAAAAACCCAGAGTACGACCCTTTTTCAAACCCTTGGGGACCATATATCCCAGATCAAATTGGACTAGTTGGGACGTCACAAAACACACGACTGGACGACTGCTCGGAGCACGTGTGTCGCAGAGAGCCGTCGCGGACTCTTCGACGAGGTGGAGAGGCCAATTCTAGACACTTCCGGACGAAGAGACATGACGTACCACTTGTAGCCGAGGACGACGGAGGAGGTGGTGCAGTCGGTTCGGTCCGGCATCCGGCTGGCGTGCGGCGTTGACATAGACACTTGTGGTGTGTGGTGTGTGTGTGTGTAGTGTGTGGTGTTGTGTGTGTGTGTGATGTGTGTGGTGTGTGTGTGATGTTGCCCCTCTGTTCCCTTTGAATGCCTGAAAATAACAGAGAAGATATTATCATTAACATTGCTGGGTTATTGGGTGATTTTTAACACCAGCCGGCGTACGCTGTATACCCAATGTGGACCTTGCAACCGCATTTACAGCGCATTACATTACATGTTACTTGTTAGACGCTTTTATCCAAAGCGACTACATACTCAATACTGTGGGGAATCCCCACGGAGGGATTTTGACAGGGTTGTTGCACAAAAGATCCAAGCGCGCACAGAAGAAATCTGAGAGCAGACATTTCACGAGCGCACAGAAACAGCCTGAGTGCAAGGAGAAGGTTTTAAACTGGAACACAGGAAACCTGTAAGCAGAAATATATCTGAGTGCAAGCGTACAGTTTGAGCAGAAGCAGAGCAAATCTAAGCGCAAGCAGGCACTATTTGAGTGTGAGGACAGGGTTTGACGGAAAGAAATACATATTCTGAACGTGAAATCAATAAAGTATGCTCTCAAATGTAAAGACCACGCTCCAAATACACATCCTGTAACAGTTCTGAGGATTTAGTAGGTGTGTTAGTCCAGGGGTTCCCAAACTTTTCAGCCCGCGACCCCCAAAATCACAGCGCCAGACTGGCGACACCCTGTCGAATGTTTATGCAAACGTTATTATTAATATTAATTAAAAAAAAAAAAAATTATAATTTTTTATTTTAATTTTCCATTTTAATTTTGTAATCATCTCGCGACCCCCACTCGGGGTCTCGCGAACCGCCGGTGGGTCACGACCCCCACTTTGGGAACCCCTGTGTTAGTCGAGTGTTATTCTCACTAAACAAGTAATGAAACCAAGATGGACGTGTGTGTGTATTGCAGTTGTGGAATAAATCTAAGTATAAGTACACAGACAGAATGTTCTCAATTTTAAATGTTGAGGTATATATATTGTGCCAGATTTATATCATCATAATAATCTTCAGAAGCACAGTCAATACTTTTACTACCAACCTTTAAGTAAGAAAGGTTTAGGATGCAGGACAGTGTTGTATTAGTACTTTAAATTCAGTGCAGGCTCTGAATACGTCCTCTCCTTCTGTTTCTTGTCGTCTCCAGCAGTCAGATATCGCTGGAGGTCTTCCTCCACCTGCGATATAAAGGCACAGACTGCGCTCTCATGGTCACCGCTGACGCTCACCCCGCTAACGCTCAGTCCTGTGCAGCCGGAGACTTCCGCAGCGCCTTCACCAAGCGGTCAGATTTGTCTCTACACATTTATTCTACAGGTTTACCCATTACCTCTTACACATTTTGAGTCGAGTTACAGTCATTTTTCCATAGGAGATAAGCTTAGTAAACTCTGCAGCTGACGTTGTTTACTCTACTAAAGGTTAATGTTCCTCTACATTCCTCCCGCTGTCTTTTCTCTTCTTTAGTTATCTGAAGGAGTTTGGATTCACCATCCCAGACAGACCCATCATGGTGGATGACATCAGAGTGAGGGGTTGTGGGAAATCTGGGATCAAATCTGTGTATAAAACCAAGACGGGGCGCGGACAGGCCAAACCAGTCACGGTACACACACTCTTATAAATACATAGAACTCAAATACACACAGAAAAACGTCCTGACGGGAAAAAGTGACAAAAGAAAGCAAGTTCATATCGGTTTTAAATCCTACCTTTTTAAATGTATTATTTTTTGTTTCACTCTCTGTTCTTCCGTGTAGATGACCAAGTGTTACTTTGAGGAAGGGTACCTGGACACAGGTGTGTATCTGTGGGAGGAGCTGCCGTCCGGTCACAGCATCAAGGGGCCAGCCATCATCATCGACAAAAACAGGCAGGTGTTATAACAGCTGTCAAAATAATAAAAAGGTTTGACTGTGTTCCGGCTTGAGCTTCAATAATCAGGATACATGTATTTGTTATCCTTGCAAGAATGGAAGTAGTCAACAGACTGGAACATTTGAATAGATAAACATTGACTGAGTCATTTTGCAGTCCCAATAATTGTCATTAAAGGTGGGGTAGGTAAGTTTCAGAAACCGGCTCGAGTGCACTCAAATTTGAAAGTACACAGCCAAAAAGAATCCGCCCCTTCCTTCAGACTTCCTTACAGAGCACCTCCTCCGCGAGAGCAGGCTGCAGTAACGTTACATATCAGGCAAAGCTAAACACATCTAGGTTAGCAATACTACACAGCCAAAGCAACTCCGATATTGACTCTGGTTTGACTTCTCCTAGTTTCCACTTTCTTTTTGTTCTTAATTTGCTCCGTTACATTTTTTCTTTTGCNACACACACACACACACACACACACACACACACACACACACACACACACACACACACATATTTAATCAATCAACACTCTCTCTCTCTCTCTCTCTCTCTCTCTCTCTCTCTCTCTCTCTCTCACTCTCACTCTCACTCACACTCACACACATTTAATCAATCAACACTCTCTCTCTCTCTCTCTCACTCACACTCTCACTCTCACTCTCACTCACACACTCACACACACACACACACACACACACAGAGAGAATACACACAAATATCTAAATTGTAACCAGCAATAGGCAGACAAACACCGGCGTCCCAACAGCCCGGTGTTCACTCTGTCGTACACATGTAGATGTAAATAGTCTGAGTATATAATAAAAAATCGCCTCTTACATGCAGTCACAAACTGTTCTATGATTTCTTTATTTTTGTACACATCTCAGTCCCACTTTATGGCGGGAACGCTCTCAAGCTTACGACTGAATTTAGTTTTTCTTACCACTTACACAAAGATTTAAAGAAACGGAGGAATGTTTGTGTGGGAAGAAGAGCGATGGCTCCAACTGGAGAGTGTTTGATCGGGTAAATAGGAACAGTAGTAGATAACGGAGGGGGGACTACAGCCTGAGTGCTGCTTAATCAGCCAATCAGGGAACAGGAAAGTCAACTAGGCGCGAACAGTAGAGCCGAAACAGATCGGTGTCTTCCTGTGATTTCTGTGAAGAAGCAGCTGCCTGGAGAGTGATAGTGATCCTGATGTTTGAGGAGGCATGTTTTCATTTGTGTTTTCCTTTCATTCACCTGAGGAAGGAGTGTTTCAGCAAAGATGAAGAGGAGGAGGAGGGGAATTAAACAGATTTTCTGTGCATGACGAACTTTACGACACACTGGCCGTTTCTCAATCGCGAGGATGCTTGCTTGGTAGCACATGTCTTCCGAGTCACTTCCTTCAGAAGCTAGGCAAGAATCCTCCCTGGCATTCGGAAAACAAAGAGTGGAACAGGCTAGCAAGTTTGCAGGTGTGCGTCATATGAGAGGCCCCGCCTTAACTTTTTCCGCCACAGATTTGGGGAAATTGGTCCGTGCGCAAAGCATTGTGGGGATTTTAAGGACGCAAAGTCTACCCATGTGCAGCCTCGAAATTACCCCCAAACCAAGGACGCTGCCTCGGTGGAATTCCAAGTATGCTGGAGATTGGAACAGTCCTTCGGCGGCACTCGATGACGTAGCATCCTTGAAATATTGGCTTGGAAGCCAGTTTCCTCGAGATTGAGAAACGGCCATGTTCTCACCGTTCTCTTTTCTCTGTCGGGAAGCTCCTTCTCCTCTCACTTCGATGATTGTGTGAGACACTTTTAAGACAAACTAACAACAACAAAAAGCAGTTGAATGAATTTATTTATTGATTGCTTCTTTATGCAACGTTGGGGGACAATGTTTATTTTTCTACGGACTTGTTGAAAATCCCCTCCGGTAAAAGTTAGAATAGTTGTCATGGTTGTAAAGCCATCTTGTTTCAGTCTGGTTTTGAGCACGAGAGAAAAAAACACTTTGTTTGGAGATTTAGAGATGGCTAGTTTGGCAGCTCTCGCTTATATCATTTTATTTCAAGAATCCCTGTTTAGTGAAAACACGAGGGCTCAAAACTGCAAACAGAATGACTTTACACAGTGGCACATATTCATTTATTTATTGAACAATTACCTGGTGGGGAGGAATAATGTGACAACTTGTGAGTCCTTTGTGAGTCAATCGTGTGTTTGAAAGACCCTTTCCTTTATATTTGTTCATTGTGACGACGAAGAATTCGGCTTCTTTTTTGCCAAAAGATTTCACGGACACATGCATGGACTTGAAGGACACTGGGTTGTTTTATTTTTCAAAATCTAAATGAATGAATAAACTTATAACAAGAAGCCAAATATATTTCTGTGGATGTTAAAGGTTTACTGATCACATCTTTGGTTCACTCTTTTTGTATAACCCTACTGCCATCTTCCAAGAGTTTCCTTCACTTGTCATGATGCTCAAAATCTGCTTCTGGATACGCTGCCTTTCTCCTTGTCTCTCTTTGTATCTGTTCTGTACATTTGTGTCTGTCTGTCTGTATGTCCGTCCGTCAGTGTACAGTACGTTGTCTTGTTGGAAGAATCACTGCCTGAAAAGAGAAAAAAAAGGGGATTTGCTGCAATCAGAGATATATCATTTGCTAACTGCTGTAAAAAAAAAAAAATATTGGGTAGCTTCTGTAAAAGTCTGTATAAAATTGGATTTATTTGTCTGAAATGAGGCGGTGTAATACAGTGTACACTCGCACCTATGCATGCTCGTTGGACGGTTGTCACAGGATGGTTCTTCCACGTGGTTCTCCCCCTTTCTCTCCTCTTCTGTCAACATTTCTCTTCCTTTTTTCCTGCACGACAGAACCTCCTACACCCCCTCCAGCGCCTTTACCTGTCTCCTCTTCTTTTCCTCTGGTGGAGAAAGAGCAAATAAACAAACCAACAAATGGTGTTTGATGTGCTTATGTGTGGATATATCTTTCATAGAGTGCACATAATTAGATTCTCACACGTTCACTTCTTTCTCTCTCGAGCCCTAACATGTGTAATGGATCTTTTTTTATCCCACATTTGGAGGCAGACAGTGTTTCTGTGCTTGTCAGACGAAGCAAGAATAAGCAGTGAAATGCATATAATGCCAGGAGATTTTTAACGTCTATTTCTTAGAGACTAGCTGCCTATTTGTTCCAGCTCACAGAAGAACCACAGCCTGAATCTCACACAGTTGACCTTCTCAGCACAAATATGTTTACATGCTCCCAGATATTCTCTTTCAAGCCTGAATGCAGTGATCTTTTTTCCACCCACGCAGGTTGCTCGGTCCACAGCTGAATTATTTCAAGTATTGAATGGATTGCCATTACATTCAGTTAACACATTCACACAGCCGCCCTTCAGGATAAATAAGAAAATATTTCGCTTTTATTCTTACTTTCCATTCAGCACAACCATAAGGTTAAACATGTAATTTATTTCTTATGATTAAGCAGGCGTTCAGACTGAAAAGCATTTGAAATACTCACCATGAAGGCTTACTCTTTGACCCTTGGTGAAGTATAAATTGAAGGAACTGAAAGACATAATGAGAACGTATCTTAGTCTCTTCTGCATATCGCTGCTTTGTAATCATCTTCAATTTAACTTTATATCAAATATTACTGTTGTTACATTCTTTATTTCTATTATGTTTTAGGTTTTGTTTTACGTATACTTTATGTAGAAAAACATGCCTTTGTGTTGTGAGCTAAGTGCATCTGTTAGCGAACTAGGTAAATAAATACAAAATGTATATAAAAAAAATATATATATATTTATGTTTATCAGTTACCAAAGTCTTATCTTCTATCTCAGTGACCTTCAAAATGGAAATCCTAATACATGGATGTGTTAATTGCAGCATCTTAAATGTGTGTGTTTGGTGCTGTGTGTGATGATTGAATATGGATTTAATTTAAATTCTCAATTTCCATTTCGATCTTTCATTTCAGTGATTTCAAGCTAAATAGTAGAAATACAGCATCCGTGTTATCAAGTTATTCATAAGGTATTGCAAGTATTTGATTAGCCAGTACATTGTATTACAGTCAATATTGAACGGTTTTGCCAAGATAACCTGTGTTTTTCAACCATCACTGCTGCATAAATGATTAATGGGGATGCATTTTTCTGTTGTACAACAAGACCAACAGGACCGCGGGTTAGCCAGCTAGCAACACTGAGTAGCACTGCTGAGCATGTTAGCCTAGCTTGTTAGCCTCAGCTAGCTCTCAAGCTCCGAGCTGGGCGACGTGTTTCAAGGCCTCTTTCCCTTTTTTGAATTGGGCGTTAGAGTTAGATACCAAGATGGCGCCGACTAGCTCTGCCTACTTTGGGCTCCACATTAAATCTGTAGAATGATATGGGTGAGGTCACGTGCACTACGTCCATTTATCCAGTCTATGGCCTGAACAAAGCTACTTGCAAAACTCACATTCCTATCAGCCTCAGCTGTCATTGTGCCTGCTAGCAAATGTTAGCATGCTAACACGGTCAACTTCAATTGCGAACATCTTACCTGTATGTTATGCTAACATGACATTAGCGTTTAGCTCATATCCACATCACTTTGTTTGTATTAGCTACTTCAAATAAGCTAGTAGACATTTTATTATTTATTTATTAAATTACAGACTGGTAATACTGATTTGAATATTTACCATACAGCAAATATCTGATACATGTACGTTATAATTTAAATTAACCTCAATCAGTAAACTTTAAAATGCATGATCTCTTTGACCTCCAGGTCAAATTAATTAATTAAGTCTTCATCAATATATTATTTCATGATCATACAATACATTGCTGTCAGTTCATTTTTGATCCAATAAACAGACATGTTGATAAATGCTGTACGGATACATTCAACATGTTGTTTAGAAATTGAACATTCGTCCGTCTGCAGTTCAAAAGACACAGGAAGGCCCCTGAGATCCTGAGAATGAAAAAGTGAGACTGAGTGAAGAGTAGAAAAAAAAAATCCTATAGCTTTCAGGAGCTTTGTGTTCACTTCTCGTCCTGCAGAGAGTCTGCGGAGAGCACTACTCCCCATCCTCTGGGTGAGGAAGAGGAGGGAAATGAGAGGAAGGTAAACAAGTCTGTACTCCTGAAGCCAGCTTATATGGGTTCGTCCGAGTCCTCGCTCTCCCTGTGCTCCTGCAGCGAGGAGAGAGTGAACACTGGGCAGGTGGGGGAGACGGGGGAGGAAGGAGGTGAAGGTGATGAAGGTGAGGAAGGAGAAGAGGTGGAGGGTTCCTGTGAAACACCCTCATCTCCTCTAGTGCTCCCAGGGGAGGAGGAAGGGGCACCGGCCCCCCCGGGAACTTCCCTGAAGGAGGGCGCTTTTCCTCTGAAATCCTCCTTGGACTCCCTCCTCGCCAGCTCCCCCTCCTCCCTCCGGCTACCCTCCCCTCCCCACAGATCTCTGTCCCCGGTGGGGGAGGAAGGGGTGGACGGGGGGAGTTGGTGCTTCTTGGATTTCCTGCTGGCGTCCCTGAAGCTGGCCAGAGGGGGGCGGAGCCTCACCCCGCTGCGAGTGGAGCCCTCGATCGCTTTCTGTAGCTGTTGGAGAGAGAGAAAATGTATCAACGTTATACAATCCGATTTTTTTTTTTTTTTTAAATATGAACCCCCCTTTATTATAACCTTTATTTATATGAATTGTAATATATGTCATATATAACATATTTCCGATTTGGTAGATTTTTAAGGTGTTTTTTCTTTAAAATGTATTTGAAATCTATAAGTTTATCCAATTAATTTTCCCTTTTTATATGAATTTTAATAAAATTATTAAATAACAAATAATTATTTTCTTGAAGTGATTATTTCTTATAAGAATTATTATTTACTTTGAATTAAATTGTTTAATTCATAAAGATTAACAACAATATATATTTTTTCCCTTGATTGGACTGTTTTTCTATGTATTTATTTAATAACATCGTTTACACTTTAATTCTTTAATTTATTAGTTTAATAATTTTTTGGGCTGTTTTGTTATTTTTTTAATTAATTAATTATTATTAAATCTTTTTGTTTTTAAACTGCTTTAGGGAGCAACACATGTTTTGGTTTATTTAGACTGTATGTTCTGTAAAGGGTTGAGATTTGTGTTTTTACAAAGCATATATAGGCTACTGTATGTTCAATATAAGTCAGTTAACCCTTGTGTTGTGTTCGAAAGCTGTTACCGTTCATGGTGTTCGCGGGTCAATTTTGACCCATGATTTATCTCAGTCCAAAATCTATCATCCAATATTGTATTAACTACATCATAACTAACTTATAATGCATTCATAACCGTACAATCCTGTTGTAATTGTATGTTATGGTTCCACAACACATTACACCACATATTGCACACGTGCATGTGTGAGTTCAGGTTCAAGTGTTAGTGTACATATTCTTTGAGAAAGGTCGAGTTCCCGTGGGGGGAGGGGGGCAGAGGGATGGGAGACCAGGTGCATGTTGCGAAAAATTATTGTTACAGTGGATGAAGGGGGAGAGGTTGTCTAAAGTCTAAGATGAATCTTGATTGGGCCAAATTTGACCCCGAGTCACCCAAAACAATTCTGCTGGGTTTCCAGACCCGAACACTAAATTACACACTTTTTTTTAAAGAGACCTTCACACTTGGCTAAAATGGTCAAAATCAGTTTTGTGGCTGTTGTGGAGCATATCATGAAGCCTTGTTCCGATAAAAAAAAACAAGAGCGTAGTTATTATATAATTTGAACTTGAAACGGGTCACGGGAGACCCGAACACAACATAAGGGTTCAATATAAATAAATACATGTATAAATAAATACAGGCATATATGAATAAATATGGTGAACATTTCTGTAAAAAATAAAATATCTCCATAAAAGTTTGAAGTACAATTCCTCAATATAACCTCCCTGTTACCCAAAATGTCAAAGTAAAACTAAGAAAATAGTTAGATTTGTCCCTTTTAACAGATTTTGTTAAAATCTCTGAGAAAAGTGTCTTAAACTTACCAGATGGGATTTAAGAAAACAAGCTTTTTTTAAAACATTGAGAATTCGTTTTACATATTTGAGGAAAAAGTCAGAACATGAGAAAGAAAAGAAAAAGTATTTTCCCTTGAATTATAGTAAATAATGCGCTTCCAATCTACCAAATGTATTTATAACCCACAGTGGATTGTTTCGTTTAAAGGGGACCTATTATGCAAAATCCACTTGTTCATGTCTCTTCTACATCAACTACGTCCCCTCTATGTAAAGAGAACCTGAAAGTTTCAGGAAAAAAGATTTTCTCTTTTTGTCCTGATCCATTTATATAAAAACCTGTCTGAAAATGAGATGATCAGATTTTGGCCACTTTATGATGTCATAACGATTTTTTTGGCTTGTGTAACCATTAGCCAATCACCAACCAAGGTAACACTTGCCAACCCTGCCGATTTTCGCGGGAGACTGCCGATTTCATTGTCCTCTCCCTGTTTCCTCCCGGGGTCATATTTCTCCCAAATTCTGACACACACACACACACGCACGCACGCACACACACACACACACACACACACACACACACACACACACACACATACACAAATGTCAAACCCTCCTCTTCTCTGTTATAATGCATCATCCATCACTTTTAAACATTAACAGGAAGTTTCTCTTTCACTTCTTATTTCTGTAACTCTGACACACACACCCTCCCCACACACACACACACGTCATGACGTCATTTTGTGTTGCAAAATATTCTTTATTTAAATGTACACTCATTTAGTCACACCCAATATTCTTGGAAATTGACGTACTGTAATATGACTGCAAAAAGTAAAAATAGAGTCTTTATGAACTACAAAAACAAAGTCGTTTTTAAAAAAAGATATGAAAGGTTTAAAATGGATGTGTTTTTTGTCAATTGTAAATTGTGTAATTCCTACTGTTATCTTTAATATTTGTTATGCATGCTTCTTGATTAATATGAAGCTATCGTTGGCTCTTAACTTGCTGAAACTGTAAATGTCTGATTCTGAAAACACGTAGTAGATTATGATCAACACCAGAGGGCTCCTGGCCTCCTTAACTCTGCAGAGAGAAGCAGTGACTGGAAGCATAGAGGAGGAAAAACGGAAGAGCTCTCACTCTGTCTCTGTGTCAGTGGTGGTCAATCAAATATTAATAAATATACATCTTGATTGTGTAAGACTATTTATACGAAACACAACTACACGACATGACTGTTTAAAGACTGAACAAAGACATTGTCAAAAGAGAGGAAAAGTAAAAATCCACTGTTTATTAAATACCTCCAACCACATATTGAATCAATATTTAACAATAAAGACTGCTAGATTACCCATAAGGACTCACCGGGTCTCATATGCACTTTAAATGTTCTGAAAAGTTCCTTATACAGCTATCAGATAACACACACACACACACACACACACACACACACACACACACACACACACACACACTACAGAACAATTTGACACATTTCCCTCTTTTATGTGCCCATCCCCCCACATGGATCACACCTGGCACACGCAATACATGTTCAGTGTCTATTCTTTGTATATTTACTGCAGTTTTTCATGTATACCATAGTCTGATACAATATTTACAGTTTGAAAGGGTGTTAAATGAAATGTGGTGATGATTAATGTTTTTTGTGTTAATGTAGTTAAAACAGGACCGGTCGAATTTGACCGCGAACACCAAAGTAAGGGGGGGGAAAACGAAGAGAATAGGAGGGTTAAGAGTTAAAATGCTTACATAACATGTCCTTTCTTACATTTAACCTGTTGTGGAAACATTTCTTGATCAAATTGATATGAAACTAATGAGACAAACATCGCTTTGACACTGATCGGGACTTTAACCCTAAACGTTCACAGTAAACCCAAAGTGACATATATGCACAATTAGAAATATGATTATGATCTGCTCCGTTAATTTAGCTGATTCAATTATATTGAGTTAATATATTCTTTATTCTTCAATTCAAAGAATGTTCAAACTAATTTAAACCAAAAAATTATCCTCATTAATGAAGTTATATATAAAAGTTATTTTACCATTCAAGCCCATCAATATGTCACATTTCAGATGTTTGACACGAGGGGGGGTTACTTGTCAGAAATGTGTTCTAGGTGGTCTATTTATTCTAAATTATGTTCCCCTTAATTTCCCCAAAAGTAGAAGTAGGGTTCTTATGGGTTAATATAGAGAAAATAATATGACTACATGGAGGTATAATTAACTATTTTCTTGTTTGTTTAAGAAAATTATAAACAATACAATATATAATGTGTTAAGCCTGTCATCGTAAAAGGTAGCATGCAATCACTCCTTACTTGCAAACGGAAGAAAAAGTCCTCCAAATATTGCCACTGAAAAATACAACGTTATTGTTTTTAATTGTAGTTACTCCTAATTTACCACAAACAAATATATTTCCAGATTAAATATGTTACAAAAACATTACGAAATGCTATGCAAATGTCACAAATGTGCAAACTGAAGTGTAAGAGGAGCAAAGTAAAACATTTTTTAGCAATGTTTTTATTGCAGCATATACAGTCCACATTGAATAATTTATGCAAAGGTTATTCCAATAACAAAATGACAGGCATACATTTTGATACAAATATAGTTATTTGCTGAATTTTATCATATAAAAACAAAAAAGAGTGTGTAAGATAAAAAAAAAACCACAGCTTTAAAGTCTTGACGATTTAATCAGACGACAGCATGTTAAACTGATGCAAAAATCAACTAATTTACTGAGAACATCCATTAGAAAATGTCAACTTGTAACATACCTGAAAGGTGAAAAGGATGCGCATGCGTAGTCGGTCAACACCTACTGTAAAAGACCGGAAGTTTGGCACAAAAAAAAATTAAACCGCGGAGTGATACCTCTCTTCCAGTAATGAGACGATCTTTGTCCGGCTGGTGTTCTCGGAGCTCCATCATCAAACAGACCGCAGAGCGACCGGAGCGGGCAGCAGAGGAGAGTACAACCGTGAACATTTACACTAAAAACCCTGGGAAATAATGCTTATATCTCCTCTTATTCTGATGGGGATTTGGACTTGAGTAACTACGATGAAATAGCGTCGAAAGGAGCGCATTAATCACACGGGAAATTAAAGAAAAGGAGGAGAAAAGGTAAGGCAAAACTTCTCTTGCTGTAAAAAAAAAAAAGGTCCCGATTTTTGGGCTCCGACTACCTCCTGGAGCAAACGCAAACTGTTGGTTGTAAGTGCTTCGTGTTTACGATTTTGTCGAGTTTAAAACAACTTAACTTGTATACATTACTTTATGGATATAATTAAAATTGTATGTGTGAATACTTTTAACAAACGAGTTTACATTAAAGTGGTTAAAAATAAGTTACCGAAAACAAACGGCGAACAGATTTTTTAATGTAAGTGTGTTGGCGCCAGTGCATAGATGGAGCCTTTTGGCTGCATTCGTGGAAAAAAAAAGTTTTTCTGACTAAAGATTTTAAAATCACTGTTAAAACCAACAATCAAATCAACATTATTTATTTTTGGGTCAAGTTTGCTTCAGTTAGTCTTGGGGGAGGAGAGTGTTTACTGAGTTGTTAGCAGCATTAGCTAACTTTGCTGCATAGTTTACATAGCTCGCCTGTAATTATAGTAAAGCTTCAACGTGTGCTACCAAGTTAGCATACACTCAAAACATTTAACTTCTAACCAGTTTTATGAATATAAGTCACACTCTTTCCTACTTAAACATTGTCTTTCGACCTTACTTTTACGTTTTAGTCAACTTTATTTAAGATAGCTTGGCTACCTTTCGTTTCAAGGCTAGTTTGGTAACGTTTTAGAGTTTTTAGTTGTTGAGATGAAGGCATGTTTTGTTCAGTGGTAGAAAGCAACCAAGTACTAAAGGTGGGAGAAGTACTCAGATCTTCTAGAAGTAGAAGTACCAGAGTGTAGGAATACTCTGTTACAAGTAAAAGTCCCCTTGTGCAGATTGGTCCATTTCAGAATAATATATGATATGTTTTATAATGATTGATCATTAAAGTGTTCTCAAAGCTGGTAAAGGTGCAGCTAGTTTGAATGACTTTGTATACTGCAGGGTAGCTTGTGAATTTACTCCAGGTGGAACTAAAGTCTGATTTAACACTTGATTATATTTCACATCATTCATCCACATCTGTGAAGTAACTAGAGGTATTCATTACATGTATTGGAGGAGAAGTACACCATGTACCTCTGAACTGTAGTGGAGTAAAAGTACAAAGTAACAAAAATACTCAAGTAAAGTACAAGTATCTCAACATTGTACTACATTTTGGAAGCCAGTTAAGATTAAAGAACTCAAGAAAAAGTACCTGAAATCTTCACTAGAGAAACTGATTTAACTAATGAATGATTTGAACTATCTTTTATTGTCATTCTTCAACCCAGAGATATGCAGTTGTAGTCTATTTATGCTGCACCAGAAATAACTAAAACAATAGTAGTGCACTCCTGTTGTGCATGTATTCAATTTGCATCAGGAGGAATGTAAACAAAGCACAAAGGTGAACTCTCTGGACAGACTCATATTTACTCTTAATTTAGCCTTTTTGGTTTTATATTGGGACCACAGATTGTTCCTTTTTAATGTCATCTGTTTACTGCTTTTAACAGTCAATCTAAATAGGTCAAACTTTCTTATTTTGTAGTCTTTTTGAAGTCTTAATCTAGGAGCTGAACCCTAGTGTGCTTTGAACAACTAGGAGACTACTTAACAAACCCTAACTTTCTCTGGTTTTACTTTTATATAAGTATCATTTTTTTTTTTTTTATCAGATTTTGTTTCATTGTATAATCTGCATGACAACATTTCTCCCATTAAATCAGGTATTTATTTTAAGAAAGTAGCAAGTTCATTTCTAAATTTGGTATGTCATGATCAATCCGGCTTTTCTACTAAAATTATTGACTTCTTCTGATTGGACCAGTCATTTTTATGCAAAAATGCTCATGCTCAAACTCATGCTCAAAATGCCAGTGCTTTTATCTGACATTTGTGAGAAATGTTGTCAGTAGTTTTGTGAAATGAAACAGAAATGTTCCTTTTATTTAACAGAAAGCTTTTAAACTCGTGTCTTATTATTACTCTGATTAAGAACCCAAATAGTCGCCATATCAAAGGCTTTGTTTTTGTCTGTATGGGTGGATATCTACTAGGGATGGGAATTTGAAAGCAAATGTATATTCGACTCCCAAAAAAACAGTTAACCGATTAACCGAAATGTACATATCCTATAAAAAAATAAAAATACATGTTCAAGTAAGTATAGAAACCAAGTCGAATTTGTCAAATGTATTGATCACAGTTTGAACAGTTGACAGCTATAGGCCTACAGCTTTCATCCTTAAAACATAACTTGGTTTTTAAATTAAAGAGGGATCATACACGAACAACATAACGGGTTAGGGTAACGTAACCCTATTACAACAGAGATCAACAACCTCTAACAGGGCCTATCACAGAATGCAGCTATTCAATACTCATTCTTGTTTAAGAATATGAGCATGTCTACTAGGGATGCTCAATTAATCGTATTTTAATCGCGATTAATTATGGCTTGCATCGATTACGAAAACAACGTAATCGAAATAAAATGATTATTTTTTTATTATTACTTTTTTTATTTTGGGGTTTTTCAGTTGAATTATACTTAAAGTTCAGGGTAATCAACTCTTAAAAACATACTGTTCAAAAAAAAAATCTCCAATAAATGGATGTTTTCAAAGTCAATGAATAATCGCAATTACAATTATTGACCCAAATAATCGAGATTATGATTTTTGCCATAATCGTGCAGCCCTGTCTACTCAGGGGAGAGNACCAGTAGACGATGTTGAACCTAACTCTGCCATGGTGAAAGTGGCCGCCTGTTGCTGGCGAGTCATTGAAGTACTGCTGCAATGCATGCCCAATGACGGCACGCCCAATGACACGCCCAATGACGGCACGCCCAATGAGGGCACGAGATACATTTGTGCTTGCAAGAGATGGAAGGCTGACAGACAGGGCGGCAATCCAATCCGTTTACCGATTGGTTGTAGTTTTTACAGTATTACGGCTTCCACAGATGACATTTTTTTATGGATTTTTTGTCAAAGCACTTCAGATATTCATTGCTATCGGGATGTTAAGAGCATTCCATTGAATATAACAAAAAGTGTATCTCGAGCCGGTTTCTGAAACTTACCTCCCCCACCTTTAAGTGAGACGTGATATTTTTCCACATACTGAGATACTTCCACTTGAGCCTACTTTTTACTTTTAAGCTAACAGTGGTTTCTTTAAAATACATGAATGCCTGTATGCATCTTTGCCTGTGTTATTTATATGTGTTCTGCTCTTTCGTCCTTCAGCACCATCCTGGTGGAGCCGTGCTGTGAGGCCCGTCTGACAGCAGGGGGCGATGTGTGCATGACGGTGGGCTCGGACCCTCACTGCGCTCTGGGCACGGAGCTCAACACCGTGCAGCTCTCCATCTTCTCTCACCGCTTCATGAGCATCGCAGGTAAAACACAGGAGAGGAGGGGAGAGGAGGGGGGGTCAAGTGGAGGAGGGGGGGGGTCACTATAACATGTTGAGTATCATTTTCTTATCAGCTCAAAGTCAACTTTATGGTCAATCTGTCAGTTTGTGTGTACAGACAGAGAGATCGATTAGAGATTTCCCACAATCCCGAATACAAAAATACAAATATTTATAAAATATGTTCATCCTATATATACACAATCAACAAACACATGTATACATTAAGACATAAATAAAAGCACAACAATCAATATATAGAAAATAACAGTCACTTCAATAACTTTGAGAATGTACATTATTGCAAGTTTGTCCATAGCAGCGTAAAGCGTGTCTGGTGCTGAGTGAGTGTGTGAGTGTGTGTGGTGTTGAAGTCCAGACACTCAGACCCAGCTTGTGTTCCTCCTCTGTTCCTCTACAGAACAGATGGGTAGGGTTCTCCAAAGAACCTCCATCTCCACCAACATCAAGGAGCGTCTGGACTTCTCCTGTGCCGTGTTCGGACCTGACGGAGGTTTGGTGTCCAACGCGCCCCACATCCCAGTGCACCTGGGGGCCATGCAGGAGACCGTCCAGTTCCAGATCAGGTCTCTGGGGAACACTTTGAAAGAAGGCGATGTGATCCTGAGTAACCACCCGTGTGCGGGGGGGAGCCACCTCCCCGACCTCACAGTCATCACACCAGTAAGTCCTCCAGCTGTGTGTCGGATTTATCTCCTCATAATTACATTTTCAATTCAAAGGTATTATAGTCATATGCACAAAGCTACAGTGTAGAAATGTCAATGAAATTCTTCTGGCCTGAGCTCCTCAAACAATGCAACATTTTCTTCTCACTAATTACATTAATGCACACAATGTACAATATCTGTTTTTTCTTTTTTCTATTCCTGCCGAATTTTATTTCATATTTTATTCAATTTTATTCCATTCTATTTCTATGTAAATACTGCTATATTTTACTATATTTTTTATAATATTTTTTAATGTTATTATAGTTTTCTTAAAATAGTTCTGTGTTTTTATTTTTTGTTTTACTTTCAAATCAAAGTCAACTTTATTGTCAATCTTTCAGTTTGTGTACAGACAGAGAGATCGAAATACCGTTTCACACAAAAATACAAATATATATAAAAATATGTATATCCTATACACAATCAACAGACACATTTATACATATGCACAAATTAAGACATAAATAAAAGCACAACAATCAATATATAAATTAACAGTCACTTCGATATCTTTGGATCTTCTTTTTATGTATGCACCATGACACCAAGTCAAATTCCTCGTACGCGTCAACCTACCTGGGGATAAACCTGTTTCTGATTCTAAATACCCCTTCTCTCCTGCTCCAGGTGTTCAGGAAGGGGGTGAGCAGTCCTGTGTTCTTCGTGGCCAGCAGGGGGCACCATGCTGACATCGGAGGCATCACTCCAGGCTCCATGCCCCCCCACTCCACCTCCCTTCAGCAGGAGGGGGCCGTCTTCATCTCCTTCAAACTGGTCACTGGTGGGGTCTTCCAGGAAGAGGGTAAGAGAGGAGGAGGGGAACAGAGAGAGGTCAGAGCTGGGTCTCGCCCACAAGTCCAGATAAAGATGTGGACGTTGTTACTGTACCGGGTTTCCACAGTCAGTGTTTGACCCCAAAAAGACAGGAGTCACAGCAGGAGGCTAAGAGGTGTACTGCTGTTGACAAGGGACACTATATTTAAAACATAAGAAACTACCAGAATAGTCCGGTTTGGGGAGCTTAGATATCCACATAAATCATTTTAAGTTATTTTCTTTAACATTTACATTTGTTTCTTTAATAATACATCCAGTAATGTTGTTTTCTGTCCGTCTCTTTCCCCTCTGTCTCTATCAGCTGTAACTGAAGCTCTGATGGCTCCGGCCCAGTACCCAGAATCCTCTGGGACTCGTAATCTCCATGACAACCTGTCAGACCTGCGGGCTCAGGTGGCAGCCAATCGGAGAGGCAGCCAGCTGGTGGGGGAGTTGATTGACAGCTACGGGTTAGCGGTGGTTCAGGCCTACATGGGATACATCCAGGTAACTGTGAAGGAAACAAAGCACTGTTAGAGAGCGGTGCAGGAATGAGTCCTCTAACCTGGAAATGAGTCAGCATTTTACCACTGTCACCAAGTCAACTTTTGTACTTAACGTATTTTGGATAGATGCCTTAAATAAGGTTTGTGGTTAACACAAGCAAGAGATTTAACAAGGGCCCCCAAATGAGACGAATAAAAAGTCATCACGCCCATCATTAGCCGCCTTTAGCTGCTGCAGTTCCTTTATAGTCAGCTTTTACTTAAGTGAACCTATCATGCTGTATTTGTATAATATAGTGTGGACCATACTATATAAGGCATATTTATACTTTTATTTCAAAATACCAAACAGATCATGCATTTTAGCCATTCCGCATTTCTCTCAATTTAATACTGTCTTTTGCATGGGCTGATTCGTGAGAACAGCACCATCTACAGGCCTGGGCATTGTACTACAGCGTCTCCAGCGCTTTCCAACGGCAATGTCCGTGGCTGTCTCCTCCTGATTGGTGGAGTGGCCAATAGCGTAGCGGCCACTTCTGTGACGTCATAGAAGTGTTCAAATCTGGATCAGTCTGTATCAGATCCGTTGCAGGCCCCTTTAAGAGATTTGGGTATTGGAGGAAATAGGAGAGGGTTTATGTTTTCTGACACTTGGTGAGTTCTGGAACACCGGGACACATATATTCATGTAGAAAAGACGTACAAAAGTGCATTTTGCATGATAGGTCCCTTTAAAGAAATCTTTTAATGGTGTTAATATGTGGAGATTATCCGCTGAACAAAGCGTGTGAGTATTCATAAAACAAGATTATTTTCTGCTTATCCAAAATCCAAATGGAGAAATCATCCCTCTTTCGTTGAGAGACTCTCTGGGATGCTAAATTTACAATTCGCCTACCAAAAATCCACTGCTCCACTCTGCTGCGCACAGTAGAAAGAGTGATTTTAGTGTGCAGGAAGGAGTCCTAAAACCCAGATATGAGTCAGCATTTCACCAATTCCTGTTCTCTCCAATGCTTTTCTTCTACGACATAGAATATGTCAGTAAATACCACACTGGTGGATTAAAAACAGCTGTTTACTAACAAATGTGACGGACTAACCGTCATCAGGCCCAACATTGCCCCGCGTATATAACATGTGCCAATATTATTTAATTATTAAATAATGTGCTATGATAACGTTGCCAATTATGCAATTGCACTACGGGTTTTTTTTTTTTTTTTTTTTTTCATTTTGGCACTGACTGATGCTGAGTAATATTTACACTAATGATGTGACTGCTATGTTTCTGTTAGATATTGAATTTGAATCTTTTGCTGCACTGTTAGTGTTACTGTAGTTTTACTATTATTGCTGCTGTGGTTTTATTTATTTTGTAACTCGGCTCAACATTTCCTCGGGGATGAGGTAAAGTCTTATTATATCTTAAGCTTTAGCAGTGTCCACGCTGATAGCCTGAACGTTAGCTTTTTACTTCAATAATGCAAAGGTTGGTGTTTATATGAATATGGAAAGGAAACCCATTGCTCTTTGTGGAGAGGCTTTGCGATGCAACTTCCAGGTCAGCCCTTCAAAAATACTCATCCCTTTCCTGCACAACCCTCTTAGTGGAACAATAGTAGGTAAGTGTGTACTGCGGTGTTGTACTTACATGGCTTCCGTGATGTTTCAGAGTTAATGCAGAGCTAGCGGTGAGGGACATGCTCAGGAGACTGCTCGGCGCCGCCGGCAAGAAAACGGGCTCCTTAGATGTGAGGCGGAGGATTTCATGACGACGGGACAGCGATCAGGACTGAGAGTTCAGATAAATGAGACAGAGGTGAGCCAGAGAGCATCGTTCATGATCATTCTGAAACCACTTGCACAATGAATAGTAGTGGATACAAATTACTTCGTTACTGTATTAAGTACATGTTTCTGGATCGTACTTTACTCCACTACTTATTTTTTCTGATGACTTTTACTTTGACTTCTTACATTTTAACCCCAAA